AGACGTCACCGAAAAAAGTAAATATGCGTTCTTTAAAAGGTATCGCGATATTTAACAACTCTCTCAATTTGTCAAATGTAGGCGGACTTCTGAGGTGGAGTTATTAAAAGTGATGGGAAAAATTTGTTAAGGTTAGGTTCTCACTACTGTTGTCATTGTAATGGCGTGAACCTACACTTCCTAATGCCAGCAGTGCACAATATACATGCCACTTTAAATATTAACAATGTGAGCCTGTTACCTTGAGAAATGGCAAGCATTCGTTCCACAAGTCTATTACAATGATCCTGCCAGCTGTAGATCTCTGCATACTCTCCTTGAAGAAGCTTCGCCTCTCTCAGTCGCAGCTTCCTTTTTTTCTCCCGAACAACTCTTATTGCATTGGCCCAATCTTTAGGATCTTTTGATTTTACCACACAATTTGAACCAATCGGAACTTCCTTTAAGGCCTCGCCAAGACCAGAGTTCCCACTGACCAGCACAGGCAGAGCAGCAGATAAAGCCTCAAGGGCGGCTAGACCAAAGCCCTCAGTTCGGGATGGCATTATAGCAAGATCTACTTCACAAAACAAGCGAGCTAACTGCTCTCTGTTTTCATTGAAACAACGCACAGTTAGTTGACTGCAGTCAATGCCTTGCTGGAGTAACAAGTCTGCTACTTTCTCTTCTTCTCCGCTTGTTGCTCCAACAAACACAAGTTTGTAGGTCACGTCTTTCAACTCAGCAATGGCTTGGGCAGCAATGTCATATCCTTTTAGCTGAAAATCTTCCTTGTCACCACGTCCGAACATTAAAACACTAAATGTTTTTCTTTCTTCAGTGGCTTGCCTTACATCAGAAAATTCTGAGAAGATGCCTGGGGTAAGATTAAAAACATCTTGATCCTTTCCAAACGGACGGAGATAACCTGAGAAAGCTTCAGCCAGCTTAGGACCAACTGCTACAACTTGATCAGCCAATTTACAAAGTTCAATCTCCACTTGGTGCTTCTTCTCACCTTTGGAAATGCGTTCTTCATATCCTTTGTACATTCCAAGTTCCTCTGGAGCGGTATGAACGATTTGAATCCATTTACAGTAAGGATGAGTTCGCTTGATAAACTGCACTTGCCGACCTAGAACAGCCCCATGCCCTATCACACAGTCCACAGCATGGTCTTCTGGCAGACAAGACAACCAGAAATTTGGTTCTAAACCTGGCATTTCTCTTGCTTTAATGAGGCGGACATTGTGATCTCTGGCAACTTGTTTATCCTCTTCACTACACTGAGGAAGATAAACACTGACCTCCACGCTGGGGTGTTTTGCCAACCAAATGGCCAGCTCTCGGTTGATGGTTGACAAGCCTCCTTTTGTTGATCTCCATTCACTGCTTAACAGAGTAACTCTCAATTTCCTGGAGGAAGTGGATCCTGAATCGATTTCGTGGTCTTCCTGCGATGTAGAGGCTGTGCTAGGAAAGGATGAAAAATCCTAAAAAAAGAGTAACATTAATTTACTAAAGGGTTTACTTAAATGACGAGATACTAAATTCATACAAACTGTAATTACACAATGTAAGTTAAAAAACTCAAGGATAATAATTATTGTCTTTCATTTGACTGAGATGAGGTACTTTGCCAAGACTGTCTTGACAACACCTTTCTGCATCTGCTTAGACTGAGTTCCACACTGAGAACTGAGGACTATACATATATCAATTACCCACTTAATTTCTTGAGTCCAGGGGCGGGGGGTGGGGAGGGAATCAGCAACCTTTTCAATATTCCAAAAGATGTACCTAAAACAAGCTAAAGGGCCTGCAAAGCAATGGTGTAGCATAAAGCACCATATATGGAGTGAATATTACAACTCCACCCCCACCCCCTCTCTCCATCATGGATTGGATAGTAGTCTACTCCCCTGGACAAGAAAGGTATTTAAAACAAGCAAAGGGCCTGCACAACAAAAGCTTATCTTAATTGGAGAGAGGTGAAGCATCAAGAAAGGAATATTACAACTCCACCCCCTCCCCCCCCCTAGATTGGATGGTAGTCCACCCCCATGGATGGGAGAGGTCCTTAAAACAAGCCAAAGGGTCTGCACAGTTAGGGAGTATCTTGATTGGAGATGCATGAAGCACCAAGGAGTATCAGAACTCACCCCCTCCCCCCTTCCCCATGGAATGGGATGCTAATCCACCACTAGGGTTAGGTAAATTATGCCAGCATAATTTTGGGCATAATTCTATAGTCAGAGAATCAAGTTTTTCAGCATAAAGAGAATTATAATGAAAACAATCATAACACTGTAAAATTCCGAAAAAAAGCCCCTCCACGTATATGTCCCTCCAAATATAAGCCCCCCAAACTCGTGACGCAAAAAAAACCTCCGTTAAATCGCCCCTCCAAATATAAGCCTCCCGGGGGCTTGTACTTGGAAAATTGCCCTCAAATACAAAATAACACAAAGCAAAAACGGTAAATTTACTTCGAACTACAAGGCTAGCCTAATCGATTTTGAAATGCAAATTTCTCTCCGTAGATAAGCCCCTCTGAATATAAGCCCCTCCAAAAATAAGCCCCTCAAAAAAGGCCTTTGAAAAATATAAGCCCCGGGGCTTATTTTCAGAATTTTACAGTATTTCCAAACTGTATTGAGAAATGTTTACTTCCAAGTGCTTTTAGTGAGGACTAACATAGTCAAAGGCTTGATTGCTACTTTCAATGTCTTGTTGCACAGTTGTAACATTTTGTTAGGTTGCTAAGACTGGCCAATTATCTATCCATCATGGCTGCCAGTTTGAAGTTTGTAACTGATACAATAAAAATTAATGTTGCATACATGTCTGCCAAGATCAGTCAAGGATAATTCTACTTTTTGAACGTAATTTTGTTGTTGTCGTAGCTGTTGTTTTAAGGCTAAAGCTCAAAAGCATAATGCTAAAATGCTAAAATTTTCAAGCACAGCATTGCCTCCAGCAGTACAGCTGTATGTTGCCATCAAACACAAAATAAATGATCTGGGTGAAGACTGTACATAATGTGATAAATGTTTTCTTGTCTAAGAAAATCAGGTGATGGGACAGATAGCCTGGGCTATAATCAGAACTTCACTGATCCAGAGTCTGACATCATCTGATCATTTAACCTCTTCACCAACAAATTCAGAACCACAACTCAAACTTCTCATTAACCTCAAACCTTTCAGCTAGCTCTTAGAGTGAAGATACAATAATTATTACATCAAGAACAACCAACCTTAACTGAACTATTATATACATAACTAACTAACAGATGATCAATTTTTCAACTTACCTCCATTAGCCTGGACATCATAGGAATCCTAAAAATCTTTTAACCCTGGCATGAACACTACAATACAAACAAAAAAGAAATGGTGCACATATTTAATGGTGTGATGCCATTTGATATGTTATTGTTGTGGAAGTTTAATTTTGTCTACGGCTATTTTTTTGGTAATATTATTAATTGCAGGAACAAACTTTTAGGATTGGTCCAGACTGGTTTTTCTCCATATGATTTGCTGTACAACTGCTTATAACAAAGAAAACTCTCAACCAAACTAGGCTGAAAACTGGTAAAACATTCGTCCTGAGAACAAATTTGTACCTAAGTCACTAAAGCGGAGGCAGTTTTTACAGTAATGTGTTTGTTGGGGGAGTGGGAGGGGCGGGGGGGAGAGTCAGGTTTACTCTTTACAGCTGTGGATCTTAAAAGAAACCACAAAAACTGAAAAACCCAAAATAAAAAGCCACAATGTAAGATATAGATGAAGTAGTGGTACATGTAGACGGCGTTTTCTAAATTTGCTTTACAACTAAAGAATCTCATTCCTTTTAAAGGTGTATTTTTCAGAATATTTACTGCTTTTCATCCCAAATTTATTTAGCATTAATGCTTTTTTTTAATGAGTGTTTATCCCATGGGTATACTGACACAGGGAGGGGAGTCCTGGACTCCACTGTCTGGGACGGCATCCAGAGCGTGTTTTCGAGTGGGGTGACTTGAAAATGAGTGACAAAGGCGCAAGGTTTGTAGGGGGGTCTGGGGGCATGCTCCCCCAGAAAAATTTTGAAATCTAGAGGCTCAGAAATGGCATTTTCAACATTCTCAATGAGATATTTCTTTGTTTAAAAATGACAGGTTCTTCTAGTGCTTACAGTAATATCATAGGGGTTTTGTAAACATGATCAATAGTCATATTTCTCCACCTTCAATATATCCATGCCGTTAGGACACTAGCCTGAATTTTTATACCAGTTCCTAGTGTGGTAAGGAAGCGCACGCTAGCAAAATTTTAAAAACACATAACTTCATCTGTGGTAATGTGTGGTAATTTAACCAGACCTTTGTTCCTTCTTTGCTCTTCATACGTGCCCCATACTAAAATAAAAAAAAATCCTCTAGAAAAGTGGGGAGGCTAAAGCCCCCCCCCCCACTGGCTCTGCCATCAATGTTATTTGGCTGAAATGAGCAGGGTAGGTTGAACAGGGTAAGGTTTGGGGGTCTTAAAGTGTTAAACACGTTATACATTTTCATTTTTTAGTTTTTTGAACAAGGTGCCTTTTTGTGGTTTCAGTTGCTAAGCAACGGAAATCCACTTTGTCATCATGCAGTGTAAGTCTGTAATTTGGGGTGACCGACAAAACAGGAATCGTAATTTTCGACCATCTCCGCTCAATTTCGTGAAGTTTTAGGTGTTATATCAAAGCGTTGAAGGTTTCCATTTCGCTCTGCTGATGAAACATTTGTCGTACTTTCAACCATCTTCGTTTGATTTCGTCCCAGGGGATATTCCCCTACAAAAGCAACGGGGGTGCTCATCGTATGTTTTAGGGGTTTAAATTTGTGGATTGGTACCATTTAGGGTGCTGAAACCTAATTAAATAACTGTTGCCAGATAAAGATTAATGACAATATTTACTTTCAAAAAGTCTTTGAAAGGAAAGTGTCCAAAGTTATCTTTATACACATGTACTATTAAAATTTGCAGCGCAAGTAATATGAGTTGTTGTTGCTGGATTGGTACCTCTTAGGGGTGGAAATGAATTTTGGACATGTTGCAGTGAATTTTTTTTTTCAGTTAATTTTTGTTTTTCCTTTGTTTGAAATTCATTAGCAACATTGTCATAACCAAAAAGAATAGAAAAATAAAAATTAATCACGTCAAAAAATTATCTGCAAAAGACATGCCCATAAAACAAGATTCTGGTACCCTATAAGAGGTGTTCTCGAAATTTTCTGAGAGCACCCCCGTCACTTTTATAGGGGAGTACCACCCCCCACCCCTCCCCTCTACCCTTTTTATGCCTGCCATGCAGATTACAATCTGTTACACTTCCAGACTTCAGTGTAAACAATGGTCCACCGAAACTGACGGATCTCGAAAAAAGAACCCAGTCTCCAACCTTGGCATCTAAAATAAAACTCATGAGATAATATCATGAAACCTCTATCAATGCCCTGTGATCATTAGGTGATCTACATTTGTACAGTCTACAAGTGCGATACCAATATTTTTTAATAAAATCTAACCCACGATGTCAGTTTTAGGAAATGAAATGAGGTTCCTTATTTTAAACAGGGTGGCGAAGAGAAGGGGATGGCATTACACCCATACCCAAACTTCCATTTAGGGTTCCTCCCCTCCCCCACCACCCACTGCCACAGGGAATTTATTTTAATATTACAAGACCAAACATTCTTTATGCAATAATAAAATTCTGATTATGACCAAATTATCTGATAATTCAAAATGACTTACCAAAGCTTGCAATTGGTACATGGATCATTGACTTCTGGAACCCACACATCATAAAATTTGAATTGATTGGTAGCAGTAACCTATATAATAAAGTCAAGGCCCATAAGTGTCAAGACCAAGAGCAGTTTTCCCTTAGTTACATATTACTATTGCTTTAGTGCCAGAGCTGTTGCACTGCCTGGCTGATGGTACAGTCATTCACCAAACAATAACCCACCCTCCTTCCCCCCCCCAACCCTCCCTCCAGGCCCAGAAAAGACATACAACAACAACAACATTTATTATTTATAGTGTACCCTTTCTATAGAAATAATAAAAAGTGCATTACAATAATAACTCATCTTTAAGAATAAAAATAGATTTATTTTATAAAAAATGTATGTAAAAAAATGTTAAAATTATATACTGTTCTGGAGAATATTTTAGTGGTTGTCCTGTGACATATTTCAAGTGCATGCGCAGTTTTGTTCTAGCGAGCACGAGGTTTTTGCTTTTCTGCCAGCTCATCACATTTTTGGAGCAAGCAAGATGAAATTAAATTGTTGATGTTTTGTTTATTTTTCTCGTGGTTTTTATGGACTTTCGACCGACCAATTATCCTGGCGAACATCTGGTAGCAGAGCGAGGTTCTTCTTTAAGTGGATTTGACGTAATTTACCAGGATTTGTAACCGAACACTGAACGAACACGAGATGGCGAGCGATTGAGAAAGGACAAAGCGAAGTACAAAGGCGCCTATACAAGAACCAAAACAAAATTGATGATGACTTTAGAGGGAGGAATGTATTGAAAATGCAGGTGATGGAACGTTTGGATCTTCTTTCTGCCGCTTTTTGAGGATGTAGTTCGTGCAGTCGAGAGTTTAGAAGCACATTATGAGACTGTTGGCGACTCATCGAGACTTACCGCCGAAGCGCTTTGAACTAGAAGCTGTGGAGGAAGATTTCAACGAGATCGAACGAATTGTTAGAGGATGTTTGAATAGCAGCCCCAGTCAGAGCGGTGCCTTGAGCGTTTCCGAACAACACCCACGGGACAGTCTCCCATTAAAGAACAATCCGAACGACTGGAACAAGAAATTAAATGCGAGAACAAGAGATCACGAAAGTGTTACATGACCTGAGAAAACGTTGGCGAACGGAAGAAACAACTTGAGCAGCAATCGTTGTCTACAGAACAGCAAACGAAAGGAACCATTTCAGGGAGGTGAGTCAGCTAGAGTTCAGGACAATGTAAATGCTAGTGTGAAGAGATCAGAAGAACAGGAACAAAATAGTGATCCGAGAATTCAGTTGACAACACCATTCCAGCAATGTGCTTCATCCGTCTCAGATTTAAACACATCAACCTCTGTTAACTTTAGTGGAGCAGCTGCTTTTTATCCCTCGAGTAGTTTTGTTCATTCATCGACTCCAATTGTTTCCCAGTCGCCAATGTCTTGTTCTCCTCCAGTGGGGACCAACCCCTTCAGCAGCCGCCATTGAATTCCGTGTGAACTCAACCCAGACCACACTTGTTGGGTCTTCTACAATACGCCCTTCAGCGTTTTCTTGAATCAGTTACATGCACCGCAGCCCAAGGTCATACTCCTTTGCAGCCTTCGTCATGTGGTAGCCAAGTACAGTTTTCAACGCCTATTGCTGGTCAGCCATTTAGTTCTAGTTATGACCAGATCAGTATCGACTCCATGGCAGCTCTGAAACGAGTGAGTATTCCCAGGTTTGCAGGCAACAAGAAAAATTATGAAGCTTGGAAAGCAGCCTTCTATTCATGCGTTGACCAGGCAAGAGCCTCACCGCAATACAAATTGCTACGGCTGCATGAGTGCTTGCAAGGAGAGGCCCTTAAAGTTATTGAAAATCTGGGACACTCTGCGGCAGCCTATGAAGCAGCCAAGTCTCGACTCGAACGGAAGTATGGCGGAAAACGCAGGGCACTTACATTACGACTTGAAGAACTGGATGCCTTTAAGCAGATAAGAGAGGGGAATGAAAAGGATCTTGAGCTTTTTGCTGAGTTACTGGATGCAGTAGTAGTGAACCTTACAGATGCTAATCAGGAAGCAGAGCTTGGTAGTGGCTCTCTTTACATCTCACTGCAACGCAAGTTTAACAAGAATCTTCTGGCCAAGTACAAACAGTGGGTCTGTGACAATCATAGAACGGAGGGTGTAAAGACACTAAGGGAGTTTATTGATAGAGAGTCTGAGTTTTTAACCACAGCTTCTGAGACAATAGCAGGTGTTCTAAGTGGATCCAAGAAGGAGAGAGCGCTGTTTGCCAAAGAAGATTTTGACCCTAAGAAGAAACATTCAAGAAAGTGTAAAGTATGCAAGGAGTCCCACAGCCTGTGGACCTGTGAGAATTTTAAGAGGATGACAGTAAATGAAAGGTGGAACATTGCTA